AAGATCTAGACAAGAGTAGAACCAAAATACCAAATACCCATCTCCTCAATATCCAAATATTACTCTGTTTCACCACAACTCATTCGTAAACACTTTCCAAACTCAGCACACATAGTATTATGCTCCACAGTGGGCAAACTCTAGGAAAACATAGCAAATACTCCCTCCCTTTACAGATCTTGATCTCAATAAGAAACATACTTTTGGAAAGAAACAGACCACAAATGAAAGGTTCCAAAGTACTACAGCAGTTGAGAGGAAGAAGGAATCATAATCACAAGGATATAATGGATTTATAGAACAAGCAGTGGGATATACTGCAAGTTGAAAATATTTTTATTAAAAAAGTGAATATATCTTTTTAGCATGTTGAAGAACTTCTATACATCAGGTAAGAAAAATCAAATTGTTCTCCCCACCCCACCAAAACATAAAAAAAGGAGAGACAGTTGACAGAAAAAAAATACTCAAAAAGCTCACTCTGACTCATAAGAGATACCGTTTTTAGACTGCAAAGGGCTAAATATGGGGTAACACGGTTGGAGAGGCTGAAGGGAAGGAGGAACTCTCATACTTTGCTGGTGAGAGGGGAAATGAATAATCTCTAAGGAGGTGGGAACTGTCAAAATTAAAGCACTCACACCTTTGACAACAGTTCTATATCTAGGAATTCATTCTACAGAAAGGCATACATAGTACTATTTGTAAGAGCAAAGGACTACAATCAAAACACTGGTTAAATAAGTGGTAGAACATTAATATAACGTGACACCGTGGAGCTATGAAAGAAAGCTGCTTTGTATAGGATACAGAGGAGTTTCTAAGATACATTTTAAGTGAAAAAGGTAAATGGCAGGGCATTATGTTACCACTTGTATGGGAAAAAAATATGAAAAAGTTGGTAAATTTATAGAATATTCCTGATGAGCATACAAAATTAATAACAATGCCTGTTCCTGGTGAGAGGAACCAGGTGACTAAGGAGAGTGAGTCACTGTTCACTGGATACCTATTTTGAACACATTAAAAATCTGGTGTATATTTGTTACCAACAGAAAAAAGGAAATTCAAATAAACTAAAAAATGTTATGAATATTGGCTATGTTGTAGGAAGGCAGGTGATTTGTTTTCTTTATGCATTCTGTAGTATATTGATCTTAACATTTTAAAGGACCTAAGAGTATAAAGGAGGAAATTTCAGGTAGGAAAGAAGACCTGAAGGGTAGGATGAATACGGAAAACTTAGGTTATAATATACAAGCCTAAATAAGCAGACAGTTTTTGTAACAATGAGATAGACAACTGTGCCTCGCATATAGAAAAATGTGTAATAATGCTACACAATGTATGAAAAACTAGGTTGGGGGCTAAACTGATGGCATTTTTGATGCTAGATAGAGTCCAAACTAATCCATAGGTCTCTGTTGACATTAGAGCAGAAAATGACAATACTATTAAATTTAATCTGATAGATTAGAATGTGGCACGCTAGAAAAAGAAGCCAATTTCTGGCCCACAGACATTTTTCACGTGGCTCAGGCAGTGTTTTTAGGGTCTGGAAGAGCCACAAAGTCCAGAAACTCCATACTGTTAAAAGTCCACAAGCCATGTGAAGAAAAGGCGGTTTTCCCTTAGACAGGCCTGGTGTTCTCCATGTGTTTTCCTATGCTGTGGCCTAACCTGACTTATTTCACACATCTAACTTTTTCTGGTCTCGAGAGTTTTTGATTTCTAACAGACACCTGGATTAAGTCACTTGACATGATGCAAGTGGAAGGGGCTGGACTGGAAAGGCACAGCTGAGGCACCTAAGATAGAGGCTGCCTTCTAAGAGTGTAGAGACTCAGAAGCCAGACTGCCTGGCTTTGAGTCCTAGCTTCACCACTTACTAGCTCTGTGATCTGGGACCAATGAGTTACTTATCTTATTCTTCCCATCTATCTAATGAAATATAAAAGTACCTACCTTGTAGTTGTTAAAGGTTAAATGAGTAAATATCTGTAAAGCACCTAGCACAGTGCTGGATACAGAGTTAGTTTTTCATTTAGTTTTTTTCTTTTTAATTTATTGCATGCCTACCATGAGTCTGTTTCTAAAATAAAAATTCGGACTTCACATTTGATAGGTACAGAGAAGGAAGGGGAGCTATCAATCATGGTAGAATGGAGACTTTGAAGTTAGATAACTGAAAGCTAATTGAAATCCTGACAACAGATAAATTCTTCAAGGGACAACATTTAGATAAAAATCAAATAGCTGAGGACTAAGCCTCAAAAAAAGTCCCTCTGATTGGATATAGAAAGATAAGGACCCAGATAAAGTATGATTACAAAGATATAGTGTTTCACTTGAGAATCAAGGACAAGAGAATTGTGTCAAATTATTGTAACAATAATTCCATCTTACACTTGCAAATTTTTAGTTTTCAAATTATTCATGATGCCACTGGATTCTAATAATGACCCAGGAAGTAGAGAAATTATCTCCATTTTATTAATGAAGGAAAACCTTAAAGATTAAATTATTACCTAAGGTTACACAGCTAGTAAGTTATAAAACAAGAAATCAAAAACACCACTATATATATGAGTGTATATATATATCATATATACCATATGATATATATAATATATAAAAATGTTCTATAACAATTCTGTAAGAATCAGGATATTATAAATTAATCCTAACTTCATTCAATGGAGCAAGTATTATGCCCCTCTGCTACTTCAAAAAAATAAAAATAAAAACCAAATAACAAACTATAAATTGAATAAATCAGAAACAAACATGCCCAGAAAAAAATAATACCTGTCACTTTTCCAATTTGCCCAAGTTAATTAGCACCTTCTATTTACTTTTATTTGAAAAAAATTCTTCATTTGCCTAAAAAAATATTTGAGTGCTTGCTACTACTCAGGTACAGCTACAGAGTCTTTTCAAAGAGCTAAGCAGGGAGAGACACTAGTAGATACAATCTCAATCTAATGTGATAAATGTACAATGAGTGTATGTAAAGGGGCGACGAATCCAAAGCCGGGGGAAGGAAGGTGTGAGGCTGGGAAGGAGACGAATAAGACTCACGGGAATTAGTCCAGTAACGTACCTGCAAAGGGGCTAGGAGAAGGTGCCAGGCAATGTGGCTAAAGACAGGCTTAAGAGTAATCAATAATGCTTATACCACAAAAATGCAATAACCATTCAATTTTAATTATGTTACCTTTTATTAGACCTGGAAATAAAAGAACACTTAGAATCAGAACACACAAACATCAAGCTGTAATACCTACTTGTACTGAACCATTGCTACCAAAGGGATGTAGTTTTTTAAATAAGCAGATGTGTGGCGATGCAAAATAAAATTTAAGCTTGTTAAAATGGAACAGTAAACTTTGTTTTAATGGCTATAGAAAGGAGGTGGTTTTCTTTTCTTTCTTCAACACGTCTGGTTCTGACAGCAAGTTGTATTACACGTTTAAAGCAATACATGCCCTGAAATCTTATATTTTCAGTTGTGTGCGTCACCTGAATTAGCCCAGACATATGAAAAACTCTCTCTCTCAATACCCTCAGTGCCCCTCCCTCCAGAAAGTCACAATGTTTGTGAACTCGAGATTCTGGTTAGTGAAGTATTTTACAGTAATTTTTCTCCAGTGACACTGGATTCTTTTAATTTCCTCTAAAAGAGAAGTGCTGAAAATGCAAGGAAATCCTCCGGGGTCCAAATTTCATTTCACATTCTCCAAGCAGTAAAACAGCAGCTTTACATGTTGATGAAAAAGAATTTCAATTTCTTTCTATTAGTTTTTAATCGTATTAGCATTAAAATTTATCAGGATTTGGATTTCCAAAAGGAAAATTTTAGTTGCCAAATATTTCAGAAATGCAATAAAGCATTACATATATACAATTAGCTCTTATCTACCAAAAATATATATGTATATATATATATTTATATTTATCTTACCTTCACTGAAGTTCTTTTTTTCTGTCTGGACATGGAAACAAAATTAAGTAAACCAATGCTCGCTTTATTTCTTTATAAGCAATAATTTGAGTCTTTTTTCATTCAGTACAACTGCCAAGTTCATAATAAATTCACAGAAGGCAATACAAGGAAATACTTACTGAATAGGCATCTGCCAAGCGATCATGGGTTAAGGTTAAACTCTACCAAACGGCACTATGGCATATAGGCATCTGATTTTTGTTTTC